AAAGCAGTGGTATCAACGCAGAGTACTCTCAAGTAAAAAAGAATAGCTGTGAATGTTTGAAATACTGAAAAATCAAAGAATTTCAAAAATTCAACATAGAAATTCTTTGAATTCTAACGATCTAGTTCAGTTTCTGAATTGTTTTTCAATCAATTTCCAAAATGATGAGAAAGAAATTAAAATCTGAATCGAATCGGTCAATTGGCTGAGTTTGGAATTTTGTGTTTTTAAATTTTTCAGAATTTTTTAAAAAATTTCATAATCTAAACATAACGCTATTTTTTTATGTGAGCAACATTATTATTTCATAGGTCGCGTTTCATCGTAAACTCGCTACAAATTTTGCTACTATTGAGCATTATTCTCCTAATCAGTCGATATTCGGATGACATCGTCGATAACTTCCCTTGGTCATGGCGTGTGTCACTTGGGTGCAGATGTTCTTGACCATCTCCGTTCGATGAAATGCCTAGATGATGAAAGAAGAATGCATGATCTCGCGATGCCAAGCTGTCCAAATCATACAGTTTTCAAAAATATGGAAATTTCGCGCATTTGGGGGTTCAGAAAATTTTGAAATTTTTTAAATTACCGTTTGGCTTCCGACAGAAGTCCCATGGCCCACCAAAAAATAAAGTGTCGAACATTTTTGTGCAGACGGACAATTTAGTATAGAAATACTGAAGGTTTGGCAAGATGTTGATGCCATCATTTTCTGCTAATCGTTTGAAAAATGAAGTGAAATGCACCAAATGGTTCTTCCAGGGACACTTCAAACAAAAGTAAAGCCTCGAACGGATTTATTCGAATTCCCCGTTTCCTAATTAGCTAAGACGCGAACACATGCCTCTAGGTGCGAATCCAATGTACAGAGATCTGGGTGCAGTAGCACCCAATTAGGGGTATGGCAGCCGTAATTAAGAAAGAAGCAAAATGGGGGATATTTAGGTGATACTAAGATATTCAATTCATACATTTTCAAATAGCATTTTTCACGGAGGTTCAGAATATGTGGAAGTTATGAAGTCTAAGACGACACTAGAATTCGTGAAAATTTTGCGAAATCATCGTTGACATTTGCACTTTTCCCGAACCCTCAGACACTTCTTATTCCCAAATCACATTTTCAAAAATGAAATTCTTAAATAGAAAACACAATTTCAAATGTGGATGAAGTTTCGGCTCTTTTACTAACCGACTGCCTGCAATACGGTCTCGATAATGTGGCACCATATTGACAACGATGCATGCGCACCTTACTTCAAGTACATGTATCTTGGAAGGCATTACATATAGCGGACAAGACTCGCCTTGATTTGTTGAAAGAGTCCTTGTACTCTACTGATAGTAAAGTCATTTGGCCAAGGCTGCATAAATTTGAAAATTATGAAGTCTTGAAATCCGCAGTTCGCGTCTGCAGGCTAGGTCGTTCCTGAGGGGCCAAATAAGCCTGCATCATAGCTGGTGATCCGAAATTATCAAGGAAACAACGTAGTGCTCATTGCTGTCGATTTCTGATATAAATTTTGCGATTTGTTCAAAATTTTCGTAAATTTGACCTAAATTTGATGAAAACATTTCAAATAATCACCACATGCTTCGTACAAGAGCTTTTCTGAATTTTTGAAGCACCTTCTAAATCAAAATTCTGCCAGGAGTACAGAAATCTACTTGTTACTCCATGAAACTTATGTTCAAGCAACTTAATTCGGTGCGACGGTTTTGTCGCGACAAATACGTCGCGACAGCTCATATAAAAGCAATTTTAGAATCTTAACAGTTGTTCTGAATCGCTAGGTTCTCAGCAATCCAATGATGTTCTCCGTTTCTTTTGAAAACTAGTTTAAAAAAAGTTATAGCATTGCGACGGTTTTGCGAAAATAAATATGTCGCGACGGAAAAATTTGTCGCAATCCGTTTTTTTCCCATGAGTTAGGAGCTCAATTGTAGTATTAGGTTGTCCGGAAAATAATGTCGCATGGCATCCCACCGCGACAGAATGACGATAAAAAATAGCGGATGGGGTATCATTTGATAGATTAAAGCAAGCTCTACAAGATAGTTTACAAACCTACGCGAAAATCGTGCTCCACCTGAAGTTTGAATCCAAAATATGAAAAATTCCAGATACCCGAAAAATCGTATCTCCGTTCATAGACGTCTTATGGATCTCCGATTTGCACGGGCATGTACTCTCTACACTAGACATTCACCTGTATAGTTTGTAGTATTTTTCCTTGGCTACAGTACGAGAAATAAAAATAGGTCAACAGTGCGAATATGACGCGTTTTTCGGGTTTTTTGCAAAGAAATTAATTTTTCTCGAAAACTAGCGCTTGTCTAAAGCTGAAAATTCATGGTTATACTCCTAAAGGTTCATGCTACAGAATCACCCATGTGAGAGAAGCTCAGGATTGTTTTGGCAAAAATGTGCCGAATTTCGTTCTCTCAATTTTCAGCCATGGAAAAACTGCGAAAATGTGCATACGTGTGTCTCGTATAGTGAGTCCACGCGTGAGCAAGTTAGGGGTTCTTAGGACTCTTCTGAACAGAGATACGATTTTTTTTCGTTTTTTTAGATCTTTAGTGCCTTGTTAAATTTGGCTCCAAACTTCATGCAAACAAAGCTGGCGCAAAGGCTTGAGCTTCATTTTGTAGAGCTTGTTTTGATCTATCGGTTGGTACCCCATTTACTTACTTTCGTGCTCACTCTGCCACCATTTTGCATCTTAAAATAAAAAACGACATTATATTCCGGACAAACTAATATATATTTCGCCTTTGCACTCCTTCCGAGGAACTGCGTCATTCTACCTATTCAAGTCAAGCGGAAAAAAGTACAGCCGTTCTTATCTGAATAGCTGCCTTGTGCAATTGCACTAGGCCACAAATCAGCACCTATAAGATTTTGTCATCAAGTATGCTATCTTTTCATGCACTTTTGATAGTATCTTTGTTTTATCTCCTTTCTCCGGTAATCATCTCCTTTCTGATGGTTGCAATAACACTTCCGTCTCCAATTTGCACAGCAGATTTCGGATGTAGTACATCTACGCAAAATGACTTTGGCAGAAGACTGTACAGCATAATTGTAGCAAGGATTTTTGTAAAATACAAACAATAAATATAGTCGTGAGAAAAGGATGCATTTCATTTAGGTGGACTTCAAATCTCGAAGCAAGATTTTTTAATTATAAAAAAAAGCCATTGAGTTACCAGCGTGATAAGTTTCCTGCCCTCCTTTGCATTTACCCGTGGTTGACCGAGGCAAAGAGCCGTAATACCAGAGAGTACCGTACCTAAACATTGAGCAACTGAGGAAAGCACTGGATGTCTTGTACCTATTTTATCGGTTACCTGTCCCTGGAAAAATTACATTTAGTACAAGGCAAGTTAGAGCTACGGGAACAGGCAGAAATGGTATCGCCTCATGCATCAACGTTATATCATTTGTTGGCAGAATTACCTAAATTTTGATTCAGAAAAATTTTACTGGAAGTTGATTGCAATGTACCTTATCACCAATTTTTTCCCTCTCTGTATGAGCATCGTCACCCAGTTGAGAGCCAGCAGAAGTGAAAGCATCTCGTGAAGGCTGAATCAATGCAAATAAATATATCAAATGCTGCGTTAACCTCTTTTCGAGGTGAAGAAAAAAATAACGTCGTGTCTCTGGAAGCTTCTGCAGTAATCTCAGCACAGCAGATTCCTATTAGCTCTACATGTTCAAAGAATGTGAGCGTATGAATGTGCAAAATCAGCCGCGAAATTTTTTCAAAGAAAAGAAATGGGGGAGGAGGGCGGGGACAGCGCAACAGAAATAGCTCTTATAAAATTAGCGTGGTCTATTTGCTTCAGATCTTTTTAGATTTTATATTAGGTCGTTCCGAAAGTTCTTTCCGTTTTTTTCAACCTATCATAGAAACTGATGGAATAAAGATAGGTAAACGTTTCAAACATTAACCGACGCAGACTTTCTTCCTCTTTTTGATTGTTTTACTCATGTGCTGGTCACTCTCATGGTCATTGAGATAATCGCCGAAATTTCAGACCCATGGTTTTTAGCATGTCCAACTTTGGCAATTTTTCATAGTCTTCATTTTTGACTTTTGGAAAAGTTTTGATAGCAGTCAGATAGAGTAAACAAAGTGCAGTGTAATGCATTTTTCCGGCAACTATAGCTAGCCTTAAAAAATTATCAGAGTTATTTTTCTGATGGTATCAAATTCCACTTTTGGTGATGCCAAGAGCCATAGAACATTAAACCCTGCACAACTAAGGTGTCATTCGATGTAGTTTTTTCTTCTCTTTCCGATGAGTTCTCGCTCAGTTACTTTATAAAAACAGTGTACAATCATGAACAACTTTCGAAAGTTTCGAATTAAGATTTGTTAGTTGGTGGAATTAAGATTTGTTAGTTTGGAGCGTTGGTGTATCTTGTGATTTCGAAAAAGTGAAGATTTCCTTAAAAGCTATCTTAAAAAACACTGAGAAGCGAGTTTAAATTGCCAAAAAATTGCATTGCATTGCACTATGTTTACTCTATCTGAATGCTATCAAGGCTTTCTCGCTAGTTGAAAATGAAAATTGTAAAAAATTGCCAAAGTTACAAATGGTAAAAACCATGTGTTCCATTTTTTGGTGATTATCTCAGTGACCACAAGAGCAAGCAGCATAGGGACATGACAGTTAAAAAGAGGAAGAAAAGCTGCGTTGGGTAGTGCCTGAAGCTTTTCTCTATCTTCTTTCACCTGTTTTTGTGATAGGTTGAAAAAACTGAAAGAACTTTCGGAACAACCTACTATATCAAAGTTTTTTGTGTTAAATGATTTTAATGAAAGCTGAGAATAATTGCAAGTGATCGTAATCATAAAGAAGATACCTTGCAGGATTTCCTTTTATACTCACAAAGAGTACCCATTCAAAAATACCGCAAAAAATTATGAAAGAAAGTGGGGGGGGGGGAGGGGTAAAGTGTGGAGGCCCCGTATTCATAGGGATATTTTCTTTACTTAAACATAAACAAGCATTTTCTGCAAATGTTGGCGTGAAGCACCACTGAGATAACGAACGACTTAGTCGCGTAATTTTTAGAACAACGCAAACCACTACCGTTTTTCTTGTTTGATATCAGTGAGATACTGATCGGTTCTAAGTGTTATTCTGTTGACCTGGCTGCTACATCCGCTTGACCAAGCCTCAGTCAGGAGCGGTGCCCGAATATGTCTCTGTTCGCACTTTTAAGTAATTTCTGGGTAGACGGCTTGGCTTGAGATGTAGTAAAAGAACACACCAACAAAAATATCTTTTCCTTCTGGGATATGCCGAAGCGGCTTTATGTTATACTGCAATGCACCCTTGATTCATACTTGCCGATTTGAAAGCATGTACGAGAATTAATTGTAAATGCATATCAATGCGTATGCGGCCCTGATGAATATACAAGTTGAATTTGAGAAAAAATCCAAGTCGCAATTACGGTATGCTTCAGAAAGTCCTCAAATGACAGATTTGAGCAAAAACATGCACCATTCATGACCTTAACCTAGCAGAAGCTCCGTCCTTAGGCTTTAGATTTCTTTACCAAAGGCGCAGCAAATTTGGTAGATCACTAGTGTTTTTGAAACAATGGTACTCTGTGTACTAGATCATTTCTGCGAAAGGAGCTATGAGAGTAACGAACATTATTGGAGATAGAATGTGAACTTTGTAAAGAGAAAAGAAATGGCTAAATATGTCGAATTTCACTTACCCCTGAAACAACTAAAAGTCCTTCTCTCCTTCCAAAGTCAATGATGCGATGTAGATTTTTCTGCAAGAATTTCCATCCTTTAACTTTCTCCACAGGTATTCTTGAAGACTTGAGCATTCCTGAAGATCGCAGTTGTATCACCGCCTATTAGGACAAACATCACTTTCTAAAGGACAACCTTTTCGTGTTACTTCTATGGGTAGATTTACGTAAGATTGCATCTTTAAAGGCTGTTGAACGTAGAGCAGTGAAAAAGTGAGCGATTACAACTTCGTCGTAGCTTTGCGTACTCGACTGCTCCCGTTTGCACAACAACACCCATTGCCATTCACGCGCCGTTGACCACTTCTCGGCAATTAACTCCGGCAAGCGTCCAAGTACGAAAAACGCAGAAGTTAAAGTACAAGTGTAGGATAATTATCTTAGTTTTTTGCCGTAGAAGCTGTTGCAGTTACGGAGCTGCTTACCTTTGAAAAATATGTAAATTTTCGACGCTTTTTGTACATCTAGTCTTTCAAACTGAGGCGCACATTGCAAGGTTTATAAAATGCTTATAGGTACAAGTACACAGTCCATATTATATCATTGGTTTAAAAGTGTGTTCGCACTGCTTTTAAATCATAATCTCCTCATGTTTCACAGTAGGAAGGGCGGTATGAAAATTGGTCTTGTCGTGGTTTTGATCGTGAATAGATTGAGTCAAGGAAATCGTGTGTTTTCCTTCTTGCATCTTCTATAATAGTTCCCATTATCTACGGAACAAATTTTAAAAATTTTGAGATCAACAGTATATTATTATAGTTTAATCTAGTATAAGCGCACTATTTTTGAGCCGTAAGTTCGTCTCATTGGTTTTGATTTTGATCAAATTTATTGGTAAAAATATTCACGTGCTTGCAACGACATCTTGACGGTACTCTACTGTACACAGGGTAGAAAAAAGAGGAAAAGGGAGACCATCCAAGCTTGGTGTTTCTGAACAAGCTCTTCAAAAAATATTCAGGATAACTTTGGCTTCCAAGCAGATAAAACCTTTGCTATTGATCAACTCTTCGGAGAATGATCGTTATGAAAACTGCTAGGAAATTTTTCCATAAGAAACCAAAAGATCATCCGCCGTTTTGTGTTTTTCTTTTGAGAATGATAAATTTCCTTTAAGACAACGCTCGATTACCAAGAGTTTTGACAGAATGATCAGGCCACAGCATTTAAGCTGGCAACTGCTTCGGATTTCATTGCAATGTTCTTGTTAGATCGTCTAAGCGTGTGCACTTCTAAAGAGCACTACAGTGATCTGAAATGAGGTAAAAATGATCTTGTTGTATCCGTACTATATGCTAGCAAAGTAGGTTTCCATAAAGCTTTGAAAGGTGCTAAGGTTTTCAATTGGTACTGCTACCAAGCTTGGAATTCAACAAAATTTTTGGGAATTTTTTGATGCAGTCCAACAAAGAGCAAATAACGTGCATAGGGTAACCTAGAGTATACAAGGCTTTTTGAGGTCTTCGGCTGAAAATTTTGCAATTTGAGGAAGTTTTTATCAAAATACTGCTGGAGTATAGCGGTTTAAACCATCTCATGTGTTTACCACGATGTAACCATGATTCAATCATGGTTACGTCCTGGTAAACATGATTATTCTTTGAAGGCCACTCAGTTCAGTCGGTCATACGAAATCACGAAACGTGCAAGGCAGGCGCTATACTCCTCGAGGAGTATAGCATGGCGACGGGCGATCGCCAATATTGGCGACTACACGTTTCATACGCAACGATTTGACGCGTGGTAACTTGTTTCGCGATTGGCGATCGCCAGTCGCTAATCGATACGTATCAAACGTGTAGTCGCCAAGATCGCCAATGTCGGCGACAAAAATCGCCGGTTTTACACGTATTTGATGCATATCGATCGTCGCCATGCTATACTCCTTGATGAGTATAGCGCCTGCCTAACTAGCAGAAAGCAAAACTGTTTCATGCTTATTTTATTCTAACCCAACTACGAATCAATCAGCAGGTGACAACATCATTGTTCTGTTGAGAATAGTAGTACTTATAGTATACTAGCTGCGATCCCCGATCCGGCCCGGGCCAAGGGTCCAAAATGGCCCGTCTGCTTCAAGATGTTTGCTTACCATTCCTCCACTTCCTTCAGATCATATTTTCTCTTCCTCTCCTACTTCACCTCCAAGTCAGTTCCAGCACACGTGTAGTACCCGGGGTGAATTTGTCCTTCTTGACAGGCTCGCTTAGTGACATCGCATACTCCTCACCGCAAAATGCAAATGATCTCTACCTCCCCTTACTACTTAGCTTGGAAAAATGAATGATATAGCTTTCATTTCCTAGATGTTAGTAAACAAATCAACAAATCGATAGTAAGACCCAGTGAATCGTCGCAAAAAGTAGCTTATCTTCTGCGCCTGGCCTCATTTATAGGGGAGCAAATTTCGACCTCATCGGTTCACAAACAAAGAAGTCTATAAGCCACATATTTAAATACGAACAAATTTACAGAGATTGAGTTTTATTTATATATAGATGTCGTGAGCCGCAAACGTGAAACAAGCACATCATTGTGCATAATTTGCACTCCTGACTCATATATTCGGAACAGAGAGGTTTTGGTTTCGCATCGTATTAGCATCAAAGTAAGGTCAAAAAATCATCCTACTGTGCTATTGATGCCGAATGAGCGCAGACACTGTGGTGATATTTTGAGTTATCAGGTTGGAATGAAGAGAATGTAGTTCTTTTTTCGAGGTTTTTCACCTAAAATGGTATTCCAATTGAAGTGTATCGAAGCCCAAAGTTTATGATTAATGTTTCGAAGGTTTGTACTAAGTACTAAGTACGCAACTGCATATATGCCAAGAGCCTAGGACTACCAGAGGAGAAGTTTACCATCTTCCGTTTTTCAATTTTTTCTTCATTTCTAATAGTAAAATATCGCAAGCGCACACACACATGGTTAAGTGCATATGTTTGCTACAAGCTGGAGTAAGTGAGACATTTGTGGGATTTATTTGTGGCAAAAATCCGATTTTGGCACTATGAGTTACTCTTACTTTTTGGCTTTGAACTTTGCGTAAACCATGACTTAAAGGCACTGTCCACCCTAAGTTGAGGATGTTGAGCTTTTGGCAGCATATAACAGTAGAGCCTCCTATCAAGCCAACGCCCAAGTGGCGGCGCAAAATGCCGCTTTGGAAGCGAGAAAATCGCTCCGGGATAACGGAAGTGCATGAGGACCCCAGACGGCACCGCCCTCCCCATCAATGCCTGCCCATGTGCACAGCTAAGAACTTTTCCGGAAAACCGACCTGCGGGTTCTCCTGATTGGGGATTTTCGGGATTTTCGCGGATTCTCGACTTCATATTTGGAATCAGGGACATGAGAAGGCCCTGTAACGACAAAATCCTGGAAGTCGACAATCTGGGTGGACAGTGCCTCTAAGCCAATCTTCAGTGATTTTGTACAGTTTGCTTTGCTCCAAGAAATGACACCTCTCGCATACTTTTCTGATTCGTGCTGTTGCTCTACTGTAGAAAGCGACATTCTCTTCCCTAATATAATCGTCTCGGGAATTCGTATAAGGGCAGAGGCAAACGGCTTAATGATTTTGAACAGCGAGAAAACTCGGAAAGCAGTCTTTAGAGCGGGAATTTACAAGTTTTTTCAACGTTGCCAAAAGCCCGCAATGCTCCGCCTTTAAAATTGGGAGCCTATCACATATGTAAGACATTTATCACAGCTCGTGCTTTTTTTGTATGCAACCGGTATTTTTTACATTCCAGTTCAGCCTTATACGAAGGAAAACGTGAACATAAGTTTGCACAATAGATTTTTCACGCATGTTATTGAATTCCAAATATCTCGTGCTCTAACTTATATAACTTCTCAAAACAAACCTTTTTAAACTCTTTTAATATTTACTTCTTTATTGATTGCTGGTTGTCATTGCGTTATGTTCTTATTTTTTCAAACGGTTTTGTAAAACCGCTTATGCATCATTCATCAAACTTGTTCCTTTATAAAATCAAAAGCATAATATTATGGAATGAATTTTGTTCGTTTACTAAGAAATTCCTCGTTTTTTGGTCTCAAAATTAATGAGCTCTCGATTTTTAGGCCCGTAAGCAAGTTCATCCCCGCTGGGGAGGGGAGGGGAGCTGGATCCCCAGGCGAACAATCCCTTCTACTGAACCCCGCTATGACAGAGGGGAGGGGAGCGATTTCTTCCCCTGCACTTACAGCGGGGATGGTGTGATTGCGGTTGGCTTCTACCTCACGGCTACTACAAGAACTCGCCGAAAAAGTTATTTTTGGTCAATTCTTGTGTGTACTAGGATGGTCTTTGGAACAAAATGTACAAAAATAGTATTCGCGCGCATTTGTCCCTTTCTCACTCTTCTTTTTCCACCCCTTCCATTTATCTCTCCCTCCCTCGATCTTTTGTTCTCCCTATTATTACTGATTCTAAAGCTTCGTTGTACTAGCTGCGTGCTGTCGATAGTGATAATGTTGATTTTTGAAGTACGGTGAGTTTATTTAGCAGTTCATGTTAAGATTTTCCTGCACTTATGTCGTGGCGATGTGCTTCGCAGCATTTTGTAGTTTCGTGGTTTCCAGCGTTTGAGAGTTCGCGGTACTGTTTCGCTGCTTCAGATTTAGCAATTGGTTTTGGAGGTATTGATCGAGCGAACCCCAGTGGGGATCCCTTCCCTTTCCCTCCCCGTATGCAGGGAAGTAACTCATAAACGCAGGGGAGGGGATCGACATCCCCTACAGCGAAGTAGGGGTTCGACGGTGTAAGTCATGCGAGAGAAGCGAATATTCTGGTTTTAATCAGTCATTACAAAGCATTTCGTTTAATTTGATGAAAAATTTTCTTTTATAGCCGGGTTCTTCTCCCAGCGACTTGTAGTTTGCGTTTTGTCTCTCTCTTCTAGTTTCGGTTCTCGCGAAGAGGTTCGAGCAATTATCTGTCAGTTCCGAACGTCTGGAGGAGTTTCTGGTCATTTCCGAGATCTTCGCAGTTTCCATATGACAAGATAGTTTTATCCATGTAGGCTACTCGAACACATTGTAACTATCATATCATACGTTATGTTGCC